AAGGAGTTTTTACCTAAATTTCGAGGTAAACGCACACAAAAAGCAGTACAATAACAGCTTGAGGTGTGGGACCCGAGTTGCGGTTTGAATGTTTCAGGTTGGCATGAGGAAATGCTGTTGGCCCGAGTAACGGCAGTGCGTCACAGGTCTAGGTGCTTTGCTCTTCAGTGAGGAACATTTTGAAAAGGCATTTATTTAGGGGGTGATTAAGATACAAAATCATTATGTTAATGGCATGCGGCTGATGAGCCGATACATTTGAGCAGTCTCATGTAGAATAGTGCAATGCCCTAAACCTACTCCTTTTCAACATACTTGAACAACCGCAAAATACTTCAGAATCCTACACTGTTGGAGAAATGACATGCAACTTTACATCTCTCTGCTTGTGCAGTAGAGACACAGTAGCGGTGACAGAAACTGGAATGAGGAGCAAATGCTATACTCCATACCAGAACAAGGATATTTTTGTGGAAATAACATCGTTTTCTTCCTGTGCATATACTGTTTCCTCACTTCGGGAATTTGACACTGAATTAGTAGCAGCAAAGGCAAGTTGCTTGCTTTCCCTTTCATTTATTCAAAATGATTGTGCCAGGTTGTTTTAAGTAGATGGCATTTCATCTTTGTTACTTTCTGGTTAGAGGGATGCAATTTACTGTACTGGGAAATGGGTAAGGCAATGCCCAATACCAGTTTGTACAATGTGCCTGTCCTCAGAAGTGTACTTCATCATTTCATCCCAATATCTGTACTCTTTATGGTGTGATGTTAGTCCTGATGTGGCACACAGATAAAATACTGAACAGTTTCTAAGACAAATGATGACATCAAGAGAAAGTTCAAAAGACTTTTTTTTGGAAGCGGGGTCTGCCTTTGGTATTTTGAAACAACTACATAGAACGTAAAAACCAGCATTAGTGGCATCAGAGCTCTGCTCTATCCTCCTCTGCTGTACAGCATCTGTTTTGATTTACTACACGCCACTAGTTTTACTAACTTCCGCCCCCTGCCTTTTTTTTTTTTTCATCAAGTACAGGAGCCAATACTTACATGAAACATTACCTACATGAAACATTAATGAAGGGTAGCAGAGCCATTATGTCTTATGTCCAAGTGATTTCCATGGTAAATCCAAGATCAGTACTACATTCTTTGAAGACCAGGCTTTGCCCTCATGTCTTAAGTTTCTTTACTGAAACAGTAAGCTCATCAGCTATGTACCACCACGTGGAAGATTCCAAGTGGTCCTATGTCCCCTTCCCATTCCACCAGCTCCAAGACTGAAATCGCGAGATAAAGGCGGCCAGCATCTCGCCTAGCCCATCTCCTGAGCATGGTCCTGGATATTGCAAAGGCGTGCAGCGCCAGCTAGACAAATAGTGATATAATCCACCAAGAATAGAAAGGGATTTCCTAACTTTCATTAACGATCGACATAGGGAGCATAAGCCATAAAACATGAATTAACTTCAATTTATGAAACACCTAATCACTTTTCTATGCCAATTCTGTTGCACCTACTTTTATTATATGTTAGAAAAATTAGTTTCATGGGCTAATTTTGTGTATTAATTTCAAATACTATTTTACTGTAAAAGGGTGAAGACAGCTGCTGTTTACACGTCCTTTTAAATTACACGCTTAAAAGGCTGCAAAACCAGTTACCACAATTTCAACATGTGAGAAGTCATGTAAGTAAACACCAGGCTACATCCAAAGCTGTCCCTTAACCATTGAAGATGGCTTCTTCTCCAGTCTGCCACCTTCACAGCCTTGATTGATGGTCAATGCTCCAGAATCCAAAGTAAGTCATTTGCCAGAGTGACTGATCCAGGGAGTGATTGTGTGGAAGATCAAACTTACCTAATTTGAGAAAAGCAGGACTGATGCAGACCCTTACCTGTACAGGTTTTCAACCCTCCCCTTCAATATTGTATCTAAGGCCACCCCTTCCATAGACAGCAGCCATGTTCTTTGGAGAACTTTATTAAAATATATCCAAGAAGTAATCAAACATTTTCTAATGAGTCAGGAGAGAACTGAAGTGAGAAAAACATCTGTACAGAGGACAGTGCTGTAAGTTTTTGTTTACATGCTTTATTTCAATGTTTCACAGTTTAGTCATTGTCTACAAAAATATATTTCTGAAACTCTGAGTCCTCTATAAAAAAGCTGGTCAGCAGCAGTGACCCTGACAAACAGAATGTACCTTGGGACAGTGTGAGCACCTCCTGTAAGCAGATTAGTGCAGCTAGGGCACTCCTGCCTCACCCTGGGAGACTTCTGTTCTTTGGGATTAAAGCTCTGCGCTAGTTCTGAAGGAAGGCTTTTTTAAAAAAAAAAAAAAAAAAAAAATATCCTTCCACTTCTGTATACTGCACTAAGCCTGGGAGGGGGAGCTGCAAATCAGTGTATCACCCAGGAGAGAGTGCTAACAAAGGACTTGGCACTCAGGGGACGGGGAAGACCACAGGGTACTTTAGTACTGGTAAATTTTTCTTTGAGCTATCTGTTTAGAACAGCCTTCATCTGGTGATAATAGGTTGAGTCTATAAGCAGAGGTACAAATGGCATACAAGCAGAGTAATCCTATAAGCACAAAGAGAATCCTTCTTTGAGGTCATGATAAGGGTTCTGTTCATTTTTACCTCAACATTTTCTGCTGTGGCTTTAATCAAGGGGAAAATTACCTTCATATCCAATCACAAGCCTACATAGTGTTGGATAGAACAGAGCCGCTATCAATGCTGTCAGCTTCAACTCCTCAGTACACATAAATGGAAATAAATAATTGATGTCATAAGAAATATTTCCTATGCTTACTAGTCACCAGTATATCTAGGCACCAAAAATAAGAATTGAGAAACTCAAGTGCCCCCCAAATGAGATCTTTCCACTCTTCCTCTGCTCAGTTATTTGACTGGTCTATAGAGATACTTGCAGTTAAGAATTAAAAAAAAAATTGCTGCCTCTTAAAAAAAATAACTCTATCTTGCATTGTGCTCTAGAAAAGACAAGGTCAATGTATTCTGATCCTCTGTATTCACAAAGCTCATAACGAGAAGCCCCTTACCACAAAATAACCTCTAAGCAGGGCAGGAATTTTCAGCAGCAAATAAGTTATTGACAGACTGCTTCCCTAATGTGGTAATAGACAGAAGATGAGTCTCAGTCCCTGAAAAATCTTCCCCATCTGCCTGTCAGAAGAACAGCTTTCTGAGCTAGTAGCGTGTAAAATTTAGATTTCCTAGAGATTAGAGAACTCAGGAAAATGCTGCTGGTTATTTTAGGTACAGCTGCAATCAAAGTGCTTCTGAGCTCTAGGCTTTTGCTCAGAAAAGTTGTCCTGTAACTTGTGCCTACCACCAGTCCCAGTCTGATCTGCTAAACCTGAGCAGCCAAGGAGGTATATGAATTTTAAGTAGAATCGGCATCATCCATGAAAACACATAAGCCAAGAACCTTCACCAACACAAATACCTTATCAAAAAAGACACGCAGCACTAGAGAACTAGTATCATCTCACTAATGCTAAACAGTTAAAGTCTGTAAGAAAACACCTGAAGTTTACTTCTTGCCTATTTTCCTTTCTTAAATTGCCAGGGGGAGTGGGGTGGTGGAGGAGAAAGGAATTAATCACTTCACTGTATCAGTAGTAAGCCATTACATGAAGGCAGTATTGGAGAAAATTTAAAACCAGGAAAAAATCCGAAAACTTATGGATTCCGAAAGCTTTCCTCAGCTTCCCAAACTATAAACAGCCTAAACAGAGGATTTTGTCCACACCTCAAGGTATATTTCCAGTCTGTTCCCAGCTGTTCAGCTTCCAGTCACAGACACACAACAGAGGGAAGAATGGAGGGAGGCAGACAAACCCACACATAGCGTATGCCTCCCATATAGCACCTACTTTAATGTACCCACACAGCATGAACAAATCAATCAGGAATTGTTACATCTTGTGCATGGAAAGGCTGCAACTAAAGTGTAACAAGATGAAATTAAAGGAAGATTGGAATTAAGGAAAATCTTCTCTGTGTAACCTGTTTTGCTGAAGACTCCATACCCCTCAAAGAAGTGATTTATATTCAGTCATTTGGGAAATGGGAAAAGACTTGAGAGCAACAATCCTGCCTTGGCTTCAGGTGACAAGCTAAGAGTGTTCTTTCTCTTTTAGTATCACAAAGCTTACTCATGTAAAAAAACACTGTCTTGCCCTGCCCACTATTGGAGATGCGGTATATGTTAGCAGAGCTTAAGTAGAGTAATTTGGTCAACTGTTAAAAGCTGCCTTCTCCATCAGCACAGAGACAAGTGTCACTAGCACTGGTATGTTACTTCTAGTTGATGCAGTTATGCCAAAAAAAAAATCTGTAGCACAAAGCTTAGAATTCTAACACGATAGATACCTTGTGGATAAACATTCCCATTAGACTGTGAGGTATGTGTGTGCGAGGAACCAGCAACTGCAGCTGCAAGTTATTGCTACTTGCTGTCTCCCAATGCAAGTTTTTTCCATTTCTGCCTTCTCAGAGTTAGACAGACTCCAGGGTGAACTATTCTGATGCCTCACAAACACAGTGGCCACCAGAACACATTTGATGACACTTTAATCCTTTCCGAATTATTTACAAGGCTGGCTTTGAGACTGTTACTTTTAACTTCAGGCCTAGTACTGCATAGACAAAACTTTGTATGGTCAAGAACTAGCAATGCCTGCGCTATGTCTGTTCTCACAGGAAACCTTAATTAAAACAAGCGAAGTAACAATAAGAGCTGAGCCTAGGCTGCATTCTACCAAGGGCATAATAAAGACAATAGTTAAAACTTCTCCAATTCACTAATATTATTCTTATATACCCCATGGCTACACTTCAGCCAAATTAAATTTAAGCTACAAGTCACAACTGAAAAGTGTGCACTGAAATCTGGTGTTAGGAACACTGAGGACCATCTCTGATCAGGCAGCTCCACTTCTATTTTCAAGTGCACAAGGTCAGTTCCCTGTCGCAGACAACCAAGGCAGATATATGGGAAAAATCATTGATTAAACCAAGTATTTCCGAGGGGAGGCAAGGTCACTGCTGCCCTGCCCCAGAGAAGGAGAAAGATTCATTGAGAGATTAAAAGTAAAGGGTTACAAAATAAAGGCAAGAGCTAAAGTTTGCCGGTAATGAAATGCATTCTCCCGTCCTGTATGAACAGGAAACAGTCTCTGTAGGGTGTTAAAGAAGGTCCTAGGAGGAGACACCCTCCTACTTTTTTCTGCTGCCAGAGGAGAGGAAAGAAAGATGCTGCTATTGGTCAGCAGGCATCTCTCTGTCTGCATCCAGTTTGCTCGTCTCTCCTGGGGAAGGGGTACGCGGTGCAGAGTGAGAAACAGAAGGGATCCCATGAGCTACAATCCCTTCCACTACTGGTGGTTCTGGTAGCCCAGGGGTGGCTACTCCCACTACTCCTGGAGGAAACCTGAAACCAACAGAAACATAGAAATTACAAGCTTGTCCAACAGAGTTATGCAAGGGGAAAGGAGCCATGCCCTCAGACACCTGCTGAATACAAATCCCTCTTTCTAACAGAAATGCTCTGAGAGAGAACACCAGAAAAGTCTGCAGAGCTGAAGAGTAGCAGTTTTATGTAATACCAAATGCCACCTGTTCTCAGACAGGCAGAGAGAGTCTCGGGTCACATACTAAGCATTTGGAAAACAGATAAAAAGTTTATCTCCAGTGGAAACCAGCGTGAGGCACTGTATGAAGGTATCCTGAAGGGCTGGAAATTCCCTCCCCATCAGCAGGAGGAATGCAAGCTGCCAGTTATCCTTCACTGGGCTCTAATATAGAAAAAGGAAAGAGCTGAACTAATAAAACAGCTAGATGCAAGATGAAAAATAGGAGAGCGATACTCATGAATTGCTAATGAACCATTCTTCCATTATTTCCATTCTGGCTCCCTGTGCCTTATCCATAAATATATCAGAACCTCTGTAGATCTCTCAGAGGAGGGAAGAGAACATATTTCCTACTTTGGGAGAAAAACAGAAGGGAAGCAACCTGCTCACAATCACTTGGCAGGTCTGTAACAAAAAAAATGAAATACACCCTATTTATGCCACTGCCCAAATCCACTGGACAATGTCTCTTTTAATAGTCCATATTTGGGCTTTGTTTATACAGCCCTAATGATATGCAGAACTTCTAAATGTTAAGATTCAGACCTCTTTTCAGGTACCCAGCAAGCTTTCTTATATTAAGATGTCTCTTCAGCAGGTCTCGCAAGGATTTGGAAAAATTAACCAGTATGCAGCTGGAACTAAATATGACCAAGTAAATGTTAAACCTTAGTACAGCTTCAGAAGTGCTGCTGTTAAGTTTCTGGAAAGAGCTCATATACAGAGTATATAGGAACAGAAACATAGCTGCTTCCAGGTACAAGCAGTTCTCAAACCCAAAGAGGGATGTTGGCCTACTTCAGTAGGAAGATACACTTGGAAGCAATAACTTGGACAACCTACATATCTCACCTGTAAGCTGCAGCTCCGTTGAGTTCTGGGTGGACAGTTGCAGGATCAATACTGGACCACTGAGCTGCTAACAGCAAGTACTCCTTATTAACGCAGTTCCTCAAAGCATCAGGTATGTGACCTGCAAGAGCGCCAAGAATGACAAAAAAACAGGACACAAGCAGGAGGGACTCGTTTGCTGAAACATTTACAAAGAAAAGTAGAAAAGAAATGCACAATATCTTTTCCATCTACCTCCACAGGATAACACTGGCAGGGGAAACTCTCCCCTGAACAACTGGTCTCTGGTCAAGACAAGAAACTGATCCTTCCTTCCCACTTCTGTGATCTTGTGGAAGTTATTTGCCACAAACTGCAATTGCCAAGCCTCACCTTCCCCAAGAGACAGTATGTACTACTACAGAAAAAAGGTGTGCAGTATAACTGTCAAAGGAATTATTGCAAAGGATTTGGAAGATGTGCTAGGTACACGGCTTTCCCAGGGAGGGAAAGTGCCACTCCAGCATTAATTACAAGATTTTCAGAAGGTAAAGAGACTATTATCAACTTATGCTCCAGTTCCAGAAACCAGTTACTGAGTGTAAGTTTTCAGAACAATCAGCATAATCCTTGCAGTGAACTAACAAAAGAATACTAATTCAGCAGTAGCTGCAGAGCACACAGTCTTCCTCATTACCTGTTATAGCTCTGCGGATCTCTTTAGCTGCATCTTCTCTGGATTCAATGGAAGCCTGCTCACTGTACCAGGCAGTATGAGGGGTACAGATCACATTGGGTGCATCTTTTAAGGGCCCCTGAGCAAAGCTGTGGGGGGAAAATAAAAAAAAATAAAAGTGGTTTCTTTCCAGAAGTGATAACCCCATTTGTCCTCTTGGGTATCACTGTAACTCAAATAAAAAACCAAAAGAACCATCCAGCGCAGGTGAGTCACAGGACAGCAGCAGGCATGCAGGTGCAACGTTACCTGAAAGGCTCAGACTCATGCACGTCCAATGCTGTTCCTCTGATTCGCCCCTCTTTCAAGGCTTGCGCTAAGGCTTTCTCATCTACCAGCCCTCCCCGGGCTGTGTTCACTAAGAAGCAGCCCTGGCGCATCTGGAAGAAGAAAAATATTAAGTGGGTTGAGAATGAGACTTTTCATGGAGGCTAAGTGAATCTTGGGAAGTCTACTGGAAATGAGCAGGAGCCTGCAGTGATTAGATGAGGCCCGGACGAACTAGGAGTGCTCTCACTGCAAAGCTAACCACAGGGGAAATGCCTGCAAGCAATGCTTGAGAAATTTGCTTTAAAAATGAACAAACAAAACCACAAGACAACAAGGGCAAAAGTGGAACTCTCAAGTTCTGCACTCCATATTCATCCTACTACATTAAAAAAGAAAGAGGACATGAATCAAGTATCCAGCTATACAAAACTGGACTACAACGTCCAGATGTCTCTTGTGAAAGCACTGAAAAGCATTCATAGACTAGTGGAGTAGAGCCCGAGACTGACTTTGCAGTGGGCTTGGGCAGAGAGGCTTTGGCAGAGCTGTGTAAAGAAACTTACACAGTCCCAGCCACACCACATCTGGCTCTAACCGGCACAGTCAATTACGCATTTTAAAAGTAATTTGAAATTATTGAATCACCTAAAACATTCTTTATAAATGCAATTACTTGGCAAAAAGAGCCAATCCTATTCTTCTCTTAACATGAAATTCTATACAGCACAAAGCACAGGCACCCGGATCCACACGCTCCCAGCCTCCAAAGGCAGCAGGAGGCACACGACAGAGGCAGCAGGATTCACACGCTCTCAGCCTCTGTGAAAGCAGCAGTTTCTGTTTGCATTCATTTCCACAGTGCTCTGTGGGGGAAATCAAGCTCCTGCTGCACCTGTTTAATAGTGAAGTCATTGATGAGGTGATGGTTATGTTCATTCAGGCTGCAGTGCAATGTGATGCAATCGCTGTGCATTAGTAGATCCTGCAGGGTTCCTACTCGTTGTAAACCCAAGGATCGCTCCACTCCATCCGGCAGATAGGGATCATAGAAAATCACGTTGAAGCCAAAGGACTTGGCTCGCAGAGCCACTGCCTGTCCAACTCGGCCTTCACAAAAGAAAACCCACAATCATCAAGGAAAGGTAAAACAAACTTTAAAGACAAGATACTGGGGTAGACTGGAGCCTACACTGGAGTTTACTGCCAGGGCCCAAGGTACTGCAGCCCTGGAAACCCCTAGGATTATCATAGGGATCCAGAGGAGGTTATTCAGTGCTGATCCCATGTGGCTAATTCTAGTCCTTCCCCATACAATAGCCAGAGCTTAGCCTAGAAGGAGCTCTGTTTTTCAAACCAAATCTGGACCCTGAGTCAGAGGCAGTAATAATCTGATTACAAGAACTTGGAAAAGGAATTGGTAGCTTTCAAGTGGCTTTGTTACTGATACAGAGCCTAGCACACAGGGAAACAGTCTCCGAGAAGAGCTGTCTGATTGTTCCAATTCTTCTAGCCATTTGAATACGAAAAAAAATCCCCAATCCCACGACATACACCCAACTCTTGAAGATATCCAGCATCACAGAATAGGGCACTAGCATTCCTTATGAGTCAGTGTGTTTCACAATGAACAGCTGTAAAATTATCACTTTTTTCAGTCTGTGATTCTTAGGTTCCCAAAAACTTTCACAGTTCGCTTTTCAATCTAACAATTCCCATCACTTACCTAGTCCAATGATGCCCAAAGTCTCCCCACGGATACGCACAGCGCCTCCGGCCACCTCTCGAATCTGTTCTACACTCGAGGCTCGATTCCCTTCCCGCATAGCCTGATGTAGCCAAGTAACACGGCGATAGAGGTTCAAGATGTGGCAGAGGGTGGAGTCAGCAGTCTCCTCTACTGAGGAGGAAGGGATGTTGCAAACTGCAATGCCTACAAAGCCACAGAGGTCATATAAGATTTTTAGCATCACAATGCTAAACCAACATAGAGCTCTTCAGGCGTAAGTGCTGAAAGATAATTCAGTGCTCCAGAACTACTGCCAAGAAACACAGGATTCATTTCAGAAGCCCATTCTACAGCGACATAGATGTGACCAGCCAGCTTTTTAACCCCAAGGAAATACCATTCCTTCCTTATAAATATCCATTTGATTGACACACTCACCAGAAAAAAACCAGGCTGAAATGAGAAAACTGGGTCATACAAGTGATGCAAGAAACTGACTGTTTTAGAAGATCTGCATCCAAAAAGATGCACTTGTTCCAGAGATACTCCTGACAGATTAACTGGCAGACTGTAGAAGAATTAAGACAGATGGTTGAGCTCTTTCATGCCTCGCAGTCCAGATGCTCACTGCAAGCATCAGTTTCCCCAGGAGCAACAATAAGTAACTAACTCATTAAATGCAGGGAGAAGCCACAGGAGGCTCTCTAAATCCATTTGAAGTTACACTTAACAACACATAACACTCCCAATCTAGAATAACATAAAACCCATGGTTAGAACGATCAGGTAAATTACTAATGCAAACAGAGTTAAAGTCCTGGAAGCACAAATTACTCTCAGGAAAGGGAAAGATGGAACACTGTAGCGAAATCTGGTCATTCCTGAGCACTCTATTAAAAAAAAAAAAAAAAGTGGCAGGGGGAGACTGCCAACATATCACTTCACTGCTGCTATCCTTCATTCGACAAACCAGCCAAGAAATAAAAATAACTAGATAAAAAAAATATTCTCTTTCCAAGCGTAACCCTAGCCACTTGCCAAACCAAGGAAACTCTTCTTCCTCAAAAGTCCACCACCTACCTAAAAACTAGGAATAAAACCTAGGCAATGGTTGAAGGCACATAAAATTCAGCGATGCATCACTCTTTTGTAAGCCTATTACAGAGGAGACATTCGACTAAACTCATACCACGCTCTCCCAGGAGAGCTAGGAAAGCAATGGCCACACACAATCCCAGATATCCGACTTCTTTTCTCTATCAAATGCTTTGCAATTATGCCATAATGCCACACAGACGACTCGGAGGACATGAGGAGGGAAGACAGGGAAACCTAACTTCTTTTAATCTCACTGGTTACCATCTCATTCAACTTCAGACAAGCCACATGCATTCATCTCCTACACAGCTAGACACAAATTTGTGTTTACATGCAATATTATGCCTACATGTAAGAAAACGCAAACACACACAACAGCCCTTTGGTCTGATTTGAAGATTCAGAACACATAAGGAAGAGTACCTTACCTCAGAATGAATTAAAGGGCCTGGCTAAACATGAAAATAATCATTAATTGTCCAGGAAAAAGCAAATCTGGCCATGCATAAGGGTCATCATACTATCGCTCCAAAGCAAAAGTAGCAAGCAGCAGTTTGATGGTGAAAGAACTTTGACCCATTTCTTCTTGGGTTAATGAGTGTGGAGTGGGGGGAAAGGGAAAACTTTGAATCTGAATGAATCAGAGATATGGATGGTGACTTTAAGTAGAGAACCCTAAGAGTAGATTAGGTTCCAAACTCAGCCCAAAAATGCAATGGCTGGATGAGAGCCAAAGACCTTGCCAGGAACTCTTGAGACTATTCAACTGAATCATTCAGATGAGAAGACTCTTTAGACCTAATTCAAGCACTAGACAAATACGCACTCTTCATTTATTTGCAATTCATCTGTTCTTACAGATCTGGAAATCGTAATGCCTATTTCAATTTTATATATAAATACTTGCATTTGATTTAAGCTTAATCTGATCTGCATTACATTAAGAAAGGTTTCAAATCACTGACACAAACCTGAAAAAGAAGGGGCAGGGTACTTAGATGATCCACGTTACCTAGGAGACTACAAGGTCCCAACGGTCTCACTGCCATATGTTTAATAAATAGCAGCTTTTTGTCACCTGATCCAGAGACTCTTCACATGCCTAGGGCTCTGAAGGGATCAATAATAAAGTGTTGAATCAGAACCTACCTGCATATAAAAAATTAACAGGAAAACTCACTAATCAAGCATTTACAGTGAGTTTATCCTGCATCAGCATTTGCAGGCTGCTTTCAGACATCAGAGTTTGCTCAATTCTTTCCCCACAAAGAACCCAAAGCTGCCTCACCAAAAGTTATCTAGACACTGTATTCAAGCTTCTGAATCCCAAACAATAGCAAAGACACTGACATCTACAGCAGAGCAATCCGAGAACTGAGAATCTTTCTTTCAAGCCACCTACCAGCTCCGATATTGGTCAGCTTCCTAAAAATGCCTGATACTAAGCAGCTCCAAATCTTTTTACGCAAAAAGTTTTAAATGCACTCAGCTATAAAACAGAAAAATGTGCAGTATTCCACTTCACATTCAGTTCTGATCACAACAGAGCCCTAATGGTGTCATCATACCTAATTCTGCAGCGGATTTGATGTCAACATTGTCATAGCCACTGCCAATACGCACAATGACCCTGAGGGCTTTGAATTTCTCCAGATCCTGACGAGAAAGGGTAATGGTGTGATACATCAGAGCTCCTACTGCCTCATTCAGCACCTACAACAAAAACCAGTCCAAATCAATCTCTGCTTTGGTTACTCTAAGAGGCAGAGCTCTATGTCCGAATGCTTGCGCATTGCCCACCTTTTCATGGATTTCCTGAGTTGACTGAGCATCACAAAATGCCACTGTAGCAACATCCTTCAAGATGGGCATCTCCACAGTGCAATCTCGTCCATCCAGGAGTGCAACCAGTGGCCGTGCCGGCATTGGGCCATTCACAATAGGAGGCCGTATGCCTATTAAGAAAGTCAGCAGGAGTGATTACATGAAAGACAAGAATTCTGGAACCCTCATTTGCTAGTCCAACAAGTCACTAGTTCTTTTAAAGTTCTATAGTATGTAGGAAGGGATTAGTCAAAGCAAAAGAAATAAATAGGAAATAAACACAGGGAAATGAAGCTAGGAAAAAAAAAAACCCTCTGCCACCACTATATAAAGAAAAATAAAACAGGCTTTATCAATAATGAGATAATAGAGGTGGTCTGCTCAGAAGCACACCATCTTGCTCTAGGCTCCTGAAACTAGTTATAAAGCCACTTCAGGCCTACTCCCCATTAACCTGCCCCCCTCTCGCACCTCAGCATGCCAAGACGCTAAGTCTATTTCCTCCTTAAGCGAGCAGAAAAACTTGTACGTTCACGGGGCCTCTGACAGCCCTGGGCAGCCACCCCTCTCAAGAAGGACGAGGCACGGCAGGCAGCTGCTGCAGAAGCGCTGGGTGGAAGCCCCCGCGCAGGCGGCAGGACCCGGACAAGCTGC